TGTTAGCCAGGATGGTCTCGATCTCCTGACCTTGTGATCCGCCTGTCTTGGCCTCCCAAAGTGCTGGGATTACAGGCGTGAGCCACCGCGCCCAGCCTACCTCCTGGGTTTAAGCGATCCTCCCACCTCAGCCTCCCCAGTAGCTGGGACTACAGGCGCCCACCACCGCTCCTTGCTGTAAGGTTTTTTTTTGTATTTTTAGTAGAGAGGGGTTTCACCATGTTGGCCAGGCTGGTCTCGAACTCCTGACCTCAAGTGATCCACCTGCCTCAGCCTCTCAAAGTGCTGGGGTTATAGGCGTGAGACAACTCGCCTGGGCTTCCTTCCAAGTTCTTAAGGTGCATGCCAATCAAATTAATGTTCTACCTTCTTTTCCAATATAAGTATCAAAAGATACATGAGTTCAATTGAAAAAAATATATATATATTTCCCTTGATATATCTCCTTTTATTGCAATGTATAGATTTTGATATGTGGTTTTTCTGTAATTGTTTAGTTCTAAGAGTTTTAAAATTTTGGTTGTAATTTCTCCTTTCACCTGTGAGTTATTTAGAAGTTTGTTATTAAGTTTCCAAACATAGAAGTTTGTATAATGTTACTTTTTGTGTGTATGTTTCCCCTTGTGAAGAACTTATAAGGAGTGGAAATTTGATTTGACTGTATTTCACTGCATCATTAGGACTTGAAAGTTCTCATGGTAGGGTTTTATTTCAGGTTAATTTCAGTTTAACAGTAATGTTTTCAATACTTATTTAACATGCTTGAAGACTTCTTAAGCAAAAATTCCTACGTAAAATCTTAAGTAAAATTTCTAAGAGGAAGTAAGAACCCTAGCACCCTATTGTGAGGTTAGAAGAATAAGAAAGGGAGTCTGGACTAATTTTAAACAGGAAGAGGAGAATTTCACTGTGGTGGGGAAATATAGTAAAGATAAAACTCCTCTTTTTTTTTGGTTTCCTTGTAATTCAAATTGGGTGATCATATGCAGGAACTTAGTTCTCAGTAATGAGTAACGTATATAGGGAAAGATGCAAATCCATGCAGGCTCCTTGATCAGAGACATAGTGAAATACATCAGTGGTTCTGCTGTCTGACTTATTTCTGCTTCTCTCTGTTTGCTTTTATAGGTAGAAGAAGTGAAAAAGCACCAACACTGTTTAGCATTTAGCTCCTCTGGACCCCAAAGCCAGACTTACTACATTTGCTTTGATACTTTCACAGAATACTTAAGGTGGCTGCGACAAGTCTCCAAGGTAAGCAAGCATTTAACCCAGGAATCAACTCAGCTTCTAGCTAGCTGCAAAGTTCCTTTCTGCTTTAGCCAGGTCTAAAATATAGTTACACATACTTTTTTTTTCCCCCAGATACTGCCAGTGATTAGCAATTTTTAGTTTTTTAAAAACTAATTTTGCCTGAAAAGTGGCTTTTTAAAAATTGTTTTTTACTTGCCCAGTTTTGTTTATACTTAAAAATAAATTGGTCTGCAGACTGGCATTACTCTCTTAATGTTGTAGATAAAAAACATGAGATTGAGAATATTTGAGGGACTGGCCCAGGCTAAGACAACTGTAAAACCACAAAATACCCAGAGAATTGTTACAAATTTCCCTTCTTTCTCTGACTGTTTTTTCATAGAAATAGTCCAATATTATACCATCTCCCCTTCACCTTTATTCTGCCTTTTCAGTGATTTAATTTTTTTAATCTTATTTTGGCCATTATATTCCTCTGATTTAATAAGATCACCCTGTCCCATGAAATAATATATAGTACTTTTGACCAGGCACACTGGCTCAATCCTGTAATCCCAGCACTTTGGAAGGCTGAGACAGGCGGATCACTTGAGTTCAGGAGTTCAAGACCAGCCTGGCCAAAATGGTGAAACCCTATCTCTACTAAAAATACAAAAAAATCAGCTGGGCATGATGGTATGCACCTGTAGTCCCAGATCCTCGGGAGGCTGAGGCATGAGAATTGCTTGAACTGGGAAGGTAGAGGTTGCAATGAGCCGAGATCGCACCATTACACT